GCCAGGAGCCCCTAGTAGCTTCTTGTTACTAGTAGTAAGGATGCTCCTAGTAGCGATGCCAGGAGCCCCTAGTAGCGTTCTTGCTCCTGGTAGTAAGGCCACGAGCCCCTAGTAGCTTCTTGTTACTAGTGTTCTTGCTCCTAGTAAGGCCAGGAGCCCCTAGTAGCGTCCTTCCTAGTAGCGATGCCCTTTGCTACTAGTAGCTTCTTGTTACTAGCGATGGCTCTCTTTGCATTTTTGAGCCCAAAAGGTAAAGAACGAAATGCCTCTGAAGTTCTTCCACAAAAAGAGCCCTCGAAATCGTAGATTCTTTGCCCGATGGCTTGGTTTGCACTTTTACACGTTTCCCATCAGGGAAGTGCCAATTTTTCTCTCATGATCTCTCATGCAATCATCATGTAAAGTCACCCGATCGCAATGGGGAGACCACAATGGCGCGATGTCATGCATGCATGCCGAATCCCACTAGCACCATTCCCAACTATATTCTGCAAAAAATCAATCCTATACATTCTACATGAAACATATACGGACACTGAAGCGAGAAGCTACGTGTCTTTTGGGCATTGGGATGCCAACCGGGCGAGCATCGTTATAGGGAGCTCTGCAGCACGACGGGTCAAAGAGCTCTGCAGTTGTCGCAGCCACCAGACGGTCTTTTCACCTCGATCTCAGCTTCGCGTCGCCAGATCTCAGGCTGGAGGCTTACGCAGACTACCAGTACAAATCGCCCTCCAACCGCAGGCCAAATCATGGGTTTTGTCGGAAGTGCATTGTTCGGCATCGCTTATTAGTAGCAAATAGTTATTAGGAAGTTTAAACTCGCATGGGTTACGTTTAAGGCCAGTTAAACTTGTTCGCAACCGCTGACGACACCCTTTCTGAATATGAGGAGGTTCGGGCCTTAGGCGTTGAAACTCCCAGCACAAGTGGTTCGCCACGCACATGAGACTTTTAGAGATGTTTCTTGAGGCCAAGTTGGTCCGTGCTTAAGGTCTCAGGGGGTCGGACGTTGGCGAAAACGAGATCTACACTCACTCACCCCACAGAAGTTACTAAAATGTTCCTGCACAGAACTCACAGAACTCAATGGCTTACATTTTCCAATAAGGCTCCGAGGCTTCACGCCGTCACTCGACGGTCTCAGGAGGCCGTTGGGGTTGAAGTTCATGAACTCCGCGGAGTCGCCCCACTTCTCCACCGCAGCAGCTTCGAAGCGAATTCAGCGCCGTGCATTTCATATCTCTTTCATTCACAGCTTAAGATCGCCCTGCTTTGAGGGCGGAGGAGGTCTCACGCGGGCGGAGCACAGGAGGTCTCAGGCGCTAAACAAGGACATGTTGGACGAGCTGGACATCCATGGAATCTGATAGACAAGCTTGTTTTCTAAAGTTCATTCACAGAAGGGTGTTATTGAAACCTTCTCCCTGAACCTTTGAACTCTGAAGAAGTTGGTGTTCTGCGAGTAACCGCTGTTCCTCAATCGGTTACAACACGGATCGGTCCCAAAGAGTCACACAAATCTGAGGTGCTCCTAGTAGCGTCCTTGCTCCTAGTAGTACGGCCAGGAGCCCCTAGTAGCGTTCTTGCATGCCCTTTGCTCCTAGTAGCGAACATTGCTCCTAGGTCATGGCAAGGATCTTGCGGCATCCCCTCTTCGACGTGGTGATGTGTCTCGATAGCAGACATTCCAGACATTCCACACTCGACGCTACCCACTGACAACTCTTCCGATCAAACGTATTCTGGTGTTTGGGAGCTGCTAGGAGATGGTCAGCATTTTAGGTGGGACAAAAGGACTGACACGCTTTGGGAGGGTCAGATCATGTTACTAGGCCGTAGGCTTGAAGGAGATGGGTTTGGGCGAGGAAACCGATGTCGGGATTAAACAGAGCGATATGACCCGTTTCCCAATCGAAAGAAAGGAACAATTCCCGAGCGGATTATGTCACGTCAGATCTTTAAGCCGCAACGTCTCCAACTGTCTAAGCTCAAATCCTCATGGCCGACTCGAAGTTGGAGAGCTGAGGTTTTGCCAAGTCCAGCGACCAAATAATCGTTTTTCAGGGACACGAGGTGGGCGATCTGTGGCGCCTTGTGCACGAGATCTCGTGAGGTGCACGATCATTTGCATCAACACCATCGTGTTTGCTATGGAGGCTCAGTACCGAGGAGCAGTTCAATGCGCGTGGCGAGATCTCAGATACATGAGATACATGTTATAAAGTACAATATATCGAACATGCCAACAAGTAGAGCTGTCATTTAGAGACGAACAAGATGTACTTGACGCACTTGGACATCAGCAACTGTGGCACAATCTCCAAGGAATAGATGTTAAGGACAAGGATCTTCTTGCACCCTCGAGTGTTTTTGGCTTTGAATTGTCAGAAGTCGGTGAATGTAAGTAGTACGAGGTGTTTTTGCACTAAGCATTCTCAAACTATCACTGGGATATTTTAGAGAAGCACTTGCTGTTGCTGCTGCTGCTGCTGCTGGTGTTGTTGTTGGTAGAAACAAAAACAGCTGCCCAACATAGTTGTCACATGTTGTAACTCTGGAACTTCAAGGGCAAGGTAAGGGATACGGTTGAAGTTTTGAGGGAATGTTGGTTTCGTAAGTAGGTGCACTTGTTGGGCATGTTTCACTGAAGTCTGGGCTGCTGTGTTTTTAGTGTTTTTGAAGTGTTGTTCTGGAGGGGGGTCCAAAAACAACAACGGGGCTGCAGACTTTTTTTCTAGGAGGGGGTAGAGACAACAACACCTTTTCAGGGCGGGTCCAAAAACAACAACGGGGCTGCAGCTTTTGCTTCTAGGATGTGGTAAAGGTTCTAAGTAGAAGTTTCACAGGTATTTTTGATCAGCTACTACTACTGCTGCTACTACTACTACTACTCCTGCTGCTACTACTACTACTGATAGTAACAATAATACGAATAATACCAATACTATTTCTAATACTAATACCTTTTTCTACTACCACTACTACTACCACTACCACTACTACTACTACTACTACTACCACTACCACTACCACTACCACTACCACTACCACTACCACTACCACTACGACGACGACGACGACGACTACTACTACTACTACCACTACCACTACCACTACCACTACGACTACACTACTACGACTACTACTACTACTCCTACTACTACTACTACTACTACTACTACGGCTACAGGGCAAAGAACAATGACGGGGCTTCAGATTTTGCCTCCACCCTCTTGTAGAGACAAAGGAAGAAGATATGTTGTAACGGGGTCGCAGTTTTTCCCCAAACAGTTTACTGTTGGGGTTCTGTCTTAGAAAAAAAGAGCTGGCCACACTCCCTGGCCGCGCTCCTGAACTCTGTGGCTGAACTCTGTGGCTCGGCTCTGTGTCCAGGCCTTGTCCTCCTCCTGTCCTCTGTGGCTGGGCTCTGTGGCGGGGCTCTGTGTCCCTTGTCCTCCTCTTGTCCTCTGTGGCTGGGCTCTGTGTCCAGGCCTTGTCCTCCTCTTGTCCTCCTCTTGGCCGTGCCCCTGAACTCTGTGGCTGGGCTCTCTGTGGCCCGGTTTGCTGGAGAGGAGTGTGGCCGAACAAATAGCGATGTCAATGCCGACAAAAATTCATTGATGAAGCAGTTTGCTCTTGGGCTGAAGGTAGGGCGTACCAAGAAATCGTTGTTTGATCAGTTTTGGTCTAAACGAATCGTTTTGAAGCTGTTTGGGGTCTATGCTGGTATAATTGTTTGTACCTTGTCGTTGTCGTTGTCGTTGTGGTTGTGGTTGTTGTTATTGTTGTTGTGGTGGTGGTTGTGGTTGTGGTTGTGGTTGTGGTGGTTGTTGTTGTTCTTCTTCTTCCTCCAATCAAGGGCATGGAGGACTGCCCTTCCGGCTCGGCGAATCCTCTCTCATGCATGGCTGGTCCGCCTTTTTGATCTGCACTTCTGCACCTGCAGCTGCAAATTGCAGAGCACTGCTGGAAGGAATCTGAGCTTGACTTCATGTCTCTCGTGCCACTTCAGCTTATGGTTGGGCCTTTTGCCCCAAGTCCAAGAACCACACGTCACTTCTCGGAGTACGCTTCGTGTAGGTTTGCGTGATAGAAGCGAAGGTTGCAAGGGGGTCATGACCTGAAGCACTGTGACATGTTCACAGGGAAATCGTAGCAAATAGTTCGAGCACGCAAGACGATACATAGCCTTTCGATGTTGCCCGGGGATCAAGCAACATGAAGAGGAGCTTGTTCAGAGCACAGAAACGGGCCCTTCAACAGGGTTACCCGTGGTATCGAGGCCATGCTCACCGCCAGACAATTAGGAATCCTCACGATTGAGCCACGACAGCTGAGTAGCTGAGGAATAGATGCGGGGCCGTAGTGGCCTTTCCAATGCTGCGCTGCGTCACTGATGGGCAGCGCCACACTGCATCCAGGTGGTCATACTGACTGAGACTCGTTGGTATGGGTCGATCTTGTGGTCTTCTTGTGATCTTGTGGTTTTTGCTAGATGCCTGTGGATCACGCAGCAAGCGCGTCCGGTGCACGCGGTTGTGCGACGCATGTCCGACACACATGGCCTGCATCCTCCGATGACACCCTGAGTAGCCCCGGCGCCAGGGGTACTATTCAGTGAGCAGGACTTAGTTTGCGCGCTGCGGAAAACTATATAAAGGGATGACGTATGGCACTTTATACGACCCCCGCTTTTTCCATTCGTTGCGCTGCCCAGGTTCTCGCCTCCAGACTGATGCATGGACACGCTTCACCGCCCAGGCTCTTCATCAACTACCCCGTTTGGCTGGAAATGATTGGGCTGCCAATGCACGCATACCCCCCCACAACGGACTGCCAGCGATATTTTCTTAAACATATTTCAATTGCAGCAGCTATTTGGGAACACGCCTGTCTTTTGGCAATCCAACGCAGGATACATTGACGCACCGGCTTCAAAAAGGATGCCACACCTACAGGCTGGCCATGTGGGCCCGGAAGAAAAACTGGCAGGTGTCCGTCAGCTTGCGTCACGACGTCCGGCCAGACTTTCGCCTTGAGTTGCAACGGCTTCCATTGTTGCGAGTCCCTGACCTATAGCTACCATTGCAGAGAATAACGAATGGTGCGCTCGTGGCTAAATCATCACTGCGTTCACTCCACTCCGCCCGACATGCCAACAATGCTCGCGCTGCAACATGTGCAGACGGGGCATCCACACGTATCCATGCGTCATGCGCGTCAGACATATCAGCTTTTGTCATAACGTGTCCACTCCCCTTGTAGTTTTTGCACCACTTGACAGCAATCCCATCAATGCCCTGTCTTGTTTCAATTTGCCATGTGGGCAGCGACTCAGGTGATGGAACCTTCGGCGCCAGTGGCCGCCAGCGCCACCTAAAGATGCACTTGAACTGAGCGCCTACATTTTTGCTGGGTCAGGCACATTGTGGGACTGAATTCAAAGTTTCGTGGGAACTTCAGCGGCGTATCAACAGAAAGTTTGGGTGGCCAGGGACTGAAGAGGGCATGGCCCCTTCCACACGGGTGGGGCTGTTTCCAGCAGGAACTATCGCCTGGGCTGCTGCAACCCAACAGTGGGGCAGACCTATGCGGGCAGCGCCTGAGCTTCCAAATCATGGCAAGTTGCCTGTGGCCAATGCGCCTGTGACTTGAAGTGCAACACTGAGGGCGCAGGTACTGAGCGCTGAAGCTGTCCCTTGTGCTGCAAGAGACCCACCGAGATGCTCCGCAAACAGAGTTGCAGCTGCAATGGGTGGCTGTGGCGCAGCTGATAGGCTGATGCCGCTGCTGAGCGGATCTCTGCTTTTGTTTTTGGTTTTGCAAGCTAGATCTCCGAATCCGATCAGTCCACAGAGGCTGATTGAAGATGGCGCGGGAGGGAGTCCGGCGTTATATAGAGAAAGAAAGAGTGGAAGAATAAAAGTTGTGTTTGTTTGTTTGTTTGCTTGCTTGCTTGGGTGGGTGGGTGGGTGGTTTTGTTTGTTGGTTTGTTTGTTTGTTTGTTTGTTTGTTGGATGGTTTGTTTGTTTGTTTTTGTTTGAACCGTTGGACCCTTCTTCCTTTTCTGTTGTTTTTCTGCGTGGCATCTATACAGTTAATTGTTCCTGCTCCGCAGTCTCTGCAGGACTTACCTTGGAAGGTGTCTTGGGCTTCAAGGGGGTCACGCCTCAAGAGAACCTATGGCCTGGCGCAGATGTGGCCAGTCCGCACGAGGGACAAGAAATGTTTGACAAAGGTGAAGGTGTAACATGATTTTTCACACCTCACTCGGGGACCCGTGTCTTCGATTTCGACTTTGAAAGATGTCCAGAGGCATTTCATTCCGCGGCATTGTACATATTCTCTTCGACACCCCTCTCATCTCCCTATGTGATGAATTGTCACGAGTTGAATGCAGCAATATGGTTTTGCGAAACACAAAGCTTCGTAAAGACCCCTTTTTTGCCCAAGAAATTCGTAAAAACCACAAAAACCTTGGGAACACAAGAATGCCGGCGCAGCGGCTGCGCCAGGAAGTCTTTGAGATCTTGGAATGGTTCTTCGGTGTCATCTACACCTTGGAGGTGAGGAAATCGGTGACCTTGTGTTTCGATTGACCTGGGAGTTGGTTTCTCCAAGTAGGAAAAGATGCATTTTGGAGATAGCAAAAGGGATGAAAAGAGAGGCTGAAAGCTCACAATCTCCCGCAATGCTGCGGATTGGCATCGCCAAGTCCGGTCTTGTGAGGTGGTCTTCAAGCTTTGCGTGCTCGGCCCAAAACAGTTTTGCCACTGGGCACAGGTATTACATCGCCGCAAGTGTGTAGATTGAGCTGAGCGGAAGGATGTTAGATATAATGTATGCATTAAAAAAATACTGTATATAGTGCAAAGGACTGGACGTGGAGAAGGGTTTGCACTCACCAGAAACGGATGCAGGTGATTCATGCGGAATTGCTAACAATGCGTGAGTTGTTGGATGCTAACAGCTCCAGTAAGCAGTGACTGTTGAGTGTTGCTTCCCGGTTTTCTGGCTACGGATGCGGTTGCCACTCGAAAGTCCACCTATACGGTGTTGAAGCCATGGCGCTTTGCCAGCACAATGTTCGTGTGGTCGTCAAGGGTCCGTGCGATGGGGCGGTGCTGGGGCAGTGCTGAGCACAAAGCCAGGTTGGGGCCAAAAGGAGCCCAGGCAACACGTGACTAGGTATTGGACGAGGCAACGTCCCCTGTGACACGTTCCAGCAATGCCCTGAAAGCATCTGAAAGCGAAGTATGGTGTGTGCGATTCAGCGATTTGAGGATGTCGTTCCGATATTATATATATATATATGTATAGAAAGGCTAGTGTGGACTGGCTTAAATCCCATTCTGAAGCCCTATAGTTCGAAAAATGCTCACCTGGAGCCAGTGAAAGCTCGAGCCTCTCAACATCTCACTTAGGTTGGAGCCCGTTGCTATTAGTTAAGTTTATCTAGAAATCTAGGAGCGAGCGCTTCTTCAAGGAAGGCGGTGGGGAGCTTCCTTGAGCTATCCTGCATCCAGTTACTAGTAGTTACCTAGCTTTTGCTAGCCACCTCTAGCTCCTACCTATATACCTACCTACCTACCTACCCACCCTACCCTACCCCACCCGACCCCACCCGACCCTACCCGACCCTACCCTACCTACGCTACCTACCCTACCTGCCTACCTACTACGGAGCCTACCCCCCCGGGCTTCAAGAAACAAACAGAAATATGTATTTTTTTGCAATTAGGTAGAAGCGATTCGAGGTCTGGACCTTTGGAACTGGATGGACACAACCATCGTTTTGGTCTGGGTCATCAGCAAGGCGACGGTCGGAGACGGGGACGGCACCGCGGGAAGATGTTCCGCATGTCATGGATCATTTTGGCATGAGAAACCCCAAATCAGGATGTACATGGGTGTACCATGTGTCATGACGTGTGCTTCACTGGTGTCGGATACAATGCTGGCAAGAGCATGACAGAGCATCATTGCTGAATCATCGCAATCAGAGCCACGTACTTCACCAACCCTGCGTGTGCTCACTGGAGTATGTCGACATTCAGCGTGTATCCCACTGTCCCAAAAATTCCCAAACCATAGCAGAGTCTTCACATCATCACTGGTTTCGACCATTTTGGTAAACCTGCAGAAATCGTGGAAATGGAATGAAATGGCGATAAAACCCTTGGTGTTTGGAGGCCATCGCTATTAGGGTGGAGGCAATTGCTTTTAGGGTGGAGGCCATCGCTATTAGGGTAGAGCCCATTGCTATTAGGGTGGAGGCAATCACTAGTAGGGTGGAGGCCATTGCTAGTAGGTTGGAGCCCATCGCTAGTAGGGTGGAGGCCATCGCTAGCAGAATAAAGGCCATTGCTATTAGGTTGGACGCCATTGCCATTAGGGTGGAGGCCATCGCTAGTAGGATGGAGGTAGTCACTAGTAGGTTGGAGACCATCGCTAGCAGGTTGGAGGCCGTCGCTGGTTGACAATCGCTAGTAGGTTTGAGGCCATCGCTAGTAGGTTGGAGGCCATCACTAGTAGGTTGGAGGCCATCTTTATTTGGGGAGGCCATGCCATTGCTATTAGGGTGGAGGCCATTGCTATTAGGGTGGAGGCCATCGCTAGTAGGGTGGAGTCAATCACTAGTAGGTTGGAGACCATCGCTAGGTTGGAGGCCATCGCTAGTAGGTTGGAGGCCATCGCTAGTAGGTCAGAGGCCATCACTAAGTAGGTTGGAGGCCATCGCTATTAAATTAGGGTGGAGGCCATGCCATCGCTATTAGGGTGGAGGCCATTGCTATTAGGGTGGAGGCCATCGCTAGTAGGGTGGAGTCAATCACTAGTAGGTTGGAGGCCATCGCTATTAGGGTGGAGGCCATCTTTATTAGGGTGGAGGCCATGCCATCGCTATCAGGGTGGAGGCCATTGCTATTAGGGTAGAGGCCATCTTTATTAGGATGGAGGCCATGCCATCGCTATCAGGGTGGAGGCCATTGCTATTAGGGTAGAGGCCATCTTTATTAGGATGGAGGCCATGCCATCGCTATCAGGGTGGAGGCCATTGCTATTAGGGTAGAGGCCTTTGCCATTTCGGTCACGGTGACCACATCGTCACGTCACGCCGTTGGCGACGCAGGTCTTGGGTCAATCGATTCCGGTGAACTCCCAAATCTTGCGACTCTTCAGGACGGAATAAGAGTGTCATGGCAGACGGGATAGAACATGTGTGGTAGAATGGAGGATTTTTGGGTTGGTTTTACGAGGGTGTTACATGGTTTTGCTTTGTATAGGGTCTAGGAGTCTAGGTGCTGCTGGAAAGGTGGATTCCAACAGCAATGCTCCACCTGTGAACCACTTTGGAAAGACTACGGAAGAGATGTTTTCTTGGAACTGTCAGATGTCCATGTCAGAGAGTTTCTATGAGTGTCTCAACTTTTCTCCAGGATCTTTCGGCTTTTTCGCTTGCTACGACTAGTGCCTTGTCAAACCGTGGACAAAAGCACGAGATCTCGCCCACGAAAGCACCCCGGAAGTCGGAGAGTTTTGAAGCCGTCGAAGGGGTGATGGACACCCCTGGCATATCCTGGCGTATCCTGCTGTGCGGTCAGCCGTCTGAAGAGTTTTGCTGAACCAACTTGCCGCGACTCAACCACGGAACCACGGCCTTGGAACTCGCAAATACCATTCACGGAATCGGCCAGAGAAGGTTTTACCAGTTTACCATTAATCCATGAAAACGAAACGCACACAACGGATCGTTGCAGTGTACAGTGTATGTTGTTTTTTTTGCAAAGTTCGGCTTCTAAGACAAGGGCTCTGATAACTGTCACGATGTCTTTGTTTGTCTTTTTGATCTTCGATTTACGCCGACTCACACCCCATGAGCTTCACGAGCACATGGACGGTGTGAGGTGCGACGGATTCAGCAATTTGATCATTTGCCGCTGGGCCAAACCCGCGACCTGAGCGTTGTGTCGCCCTCTCGACTTCCCCACGACCGGGTGAAGTTGCGAAGCAATGCAAAGCACAATAGGTTGCTCACGTTCAAGTTTACCCAGACAAGAATTGGCAGAGAAAAGAGGCCCAGTGGCAAGCCACCGTCTTCGGTTCATTGATTAAATGTGATTTTATTGCCCGCAACTTGCAACAGAAGCCCAATCAAGCAAGCGATCCTCCAAAGTGAGCTCAACAGTATTCCAGCTTCAATCAAAACGACGAGGGAACCCCAAATCCTTGCAGGGCTGCAGCACACAACGGTTCAACTGTCCGTTGCTGTCTTTGTGTTCTACCTTTCTAAGAGGGTTGTGTCTCATGTGCCTTCAGCCTGCATCAAATCCCCAAACCCCAAGGAATTTCCCGGGGATTTCATGAAGTTGTTTGTCCTCCGTGCAAGTCAGTCTTGGCCACCTCACCAAACAGGAAGAAGCACATGAAATTCTTGAGGTCTTCAGTCTCAAAAGAAGCTAGTAGGTGGAGGCCATCGCTATTAGGCGCTACTAGGGTGGAGGCCATTACTACTAACAAGAAGCTACTAGAAACATCCATCCAGTTTGGCCTCGCCAAAGCGACGTTCATCCGAGGTTCATGATGACCACGGCCATCCGTGGAAGTGTTGGGATTTTAGCCTGGACCAGTGCGGTGCTTTTCGTGGTCCATTTGCCGCTGGGCGAGTTCGACGGACGTCGTTTGTTCTTACTCTTTTTTCCGCTCCAAACGAGTCTGGACGGGTGATTGCCGAAAATGATGGAACTCCTTTACAAACCGGTCAGCCAATGCGTATCATATCATTTCAAATTTGCATATATCTCTGTGGCTGGTTTTGAGGGGAGCATGGATCTTGAGGTTTTTCCCTTCCAGATTAGTTCAATGAGCACATTCCCTACGGTAAAACATGAAAAACACATTTTTTGACCTATCCCCGAGGCTCTTGGCACTTCTGGTGCAACAGTCGCTCTTCTATTTCTATTTCGAGGCAAGTCGATCGGGTGAGCTTTGATTGATGGATTGAGCTGATTGAACTAACAAGTAAAATCAAGGAATAGAATGTTTGCCTTTCAAGGGGTTCTTCGAAGTCATTTAACCCAGTCAAAGCTTCACATTCTGGTCATGTCTAAACTTTCTACTCCGATTTCTGCTTCAGGCATTGCACAGGAGTTGTCACAAGTCCTGGCCAATGTGAAACCGCTCCATGTCTTGTTCGGGACAAGTTTTCGGCACGTTTCTCCTGACACTCCTTCCTTGATTCTTGCTTCTAGAAGGTTCAGCCAACAGTTTCAATCTAACTCTTTGCAGATGTGTGGGGGCCAGGATGAAAATATCACGCGAGAAGACAAGATGCAGGCGCGTTTTTTTGACGCTTGAAGATCTCTAATGGAGATTATGTACACGACCGTTTGTCAAAAAGAATAATGGGAGTGTTTCTTTATTGGGTCTTACAACTTTGCTCCTCTCGTGTGTTCTCTGGAGGGAATCCAGCATGCCAACAACCGGGACTGCCAAACCATGTTCTTGTGATTTTGTCAATGACCGATGTCCCAGAACTTCTTTGGTATGCTTTGTTCCTAGTGGCGTCCTTGCTCCTAGTAGTAGGGCCAGGAGCCTTTAGTAGCGTTCTTGCTCCTAGTAGCGATGCCAGGAGCCCCTAGTAGCTTTTTGTTCATATCTTTGCATATACTGTGTAAAATCCCAGGGCTTGTTTCAGGTTATTGCAGGTTGGGTGAGTTTGGATTCAAGAGTCGCCTGCGTCGGCTTAAAGTTCACCAACCTGGATCGCCCACTCTGTTCACCGACCAGATCTTCGAGTACTTTGGGACCTTCACTCGAGCCTTGTTGACGTTTTTCGAGCTCACCTTAGCCAACTTCGCCGTGCCCACGTGCCTTGGGCGCAAATTCCTTCTCCACTCCCCAAGGTGACAACAAAGCAAGCCCCAGAAGGGCGCTTCTCATGGCTGTGGTTGGATTCATGGATGGCTTTCGCTAGCTAGACCAGTGTGTAGTGTAGATGAGCTAAAAAGCTGAGGTTCCTCTTGAAATTCTTGTTGCTCTCATCTTCTGTGGTCTAGATCATGTTGTCGGATATTGCGCATGTGGATTTTGCCCAAATGGAAACCCTTCATGGACTCTTCGCATTTCTTCCAAGCTGAAAATGTTGTTTGGGTTCCAGAGCTCGTGGAGATTGGGATGGATTCGAACGGTTTTCGTGGGCGATGGGGCCCGCACTAGCTCAGGAATACCTCGGGAAATCGATTCGCACGCAGAACGTGCTACTTCGGTTCGAAGCTGCTAAACGGGGTATTTTCTATCAATATTGCGGAGGGTCGGATCAAGCAGATCTGGGGTTCAGATATCACGGTTCGTGATAGAAAACGATAGTTTTTGTTGAGGGGGATGTTCGGAGCATCCACCGTATCGTCCGTTTCGAGGAGGGTCATGGTAGAGAAGGTCACCGAGTGGCTCTTTGGATGCGATTGATTGGCGAAGGCGACAACCGAAGGGTATCAGAGTAAGAGGAGCCAGCTGCGGCCTCGAAAAAATGAAAAGAAAGGAAGAAAATGGTTCCAAATGTCTAAGAATAAATCAAAGCGGACAAAAGAGATTAAAGAAGCTATTTTCTTACAAACAGCAAGTGGAAGATGGATCCGGGTCACTTAACCCCCAAGTCCTTTTACTACGGGTAAGAGTGAATGCTTTTTGGAAGGGTACACGTTTCTCTAGCCCTTCACTTTTCTTTTGTAATTTTGGTGTGTTTTTCTTTAGATGAATCCAAGACCCACCAGCCCCCTCATCTACCATGTATTGACGAAGCTTACCCTGCATGCTTCAAGAATTCATGCTGTTGTGTATCTCCATGCGGCCAAGCTGCCAGCTACGTACCTTGTTTGAGGGGAGCGGGGAGCTGCCCCGCTCCTTTGGCTCATACTTCCTCTTACCTCAAAGGTGGACCAAGGCATCTCAGCAAATTATCTCACTTGGCCTAGCTACAAAGGGCATGTGAAAGGCGTGTCGTTTTGCCATTACATAGGAGCAAGGACGCTACGAACGGGGCTCCTGGCCTTACTAGTAACAATGTTTGCTAGAACAAGAATGCTACTAGGAACAAGTGCATCGCTTCTAGTAACAAGTGCCTCACTAGTAGTAACAAGAAGCTATTAGAAACAAGGGCATCGCTACTAGGAACAAGAATTAGAACACAACAGGAAGTTGGATCATTTCCAAGGAACAGAAAGAGGTCACTGACACCTCAAGCAGTGAAAGGTGTGGACACTTCAAGTGAGGGAGTGGAAGCCACGGTTTTTTGAGACGCTGACTGGTTTGACTGACCGGGTCCGGTTGTTGATTTCCTTTCGTGCCTTCAAGAGATTCTTTCCATTGACTCCACAATTTACACCACACAAGTTTGAGTCCGGACTCAAAAGGCACGCAGCATCTGACAATTGTCGACACCGAATTAACAACGAACATCCGAACATAGGCATCGATGCCGCATCACTGAAAAAGTCCTTTCGGGTCGACCAATTTTATCTGAAATCCAATTGCGGCGAGAAAGACCTGACCAATTGGCTGACCGGGTCCGGTGTTCTTCACCACGGAGTTCATCGTGTCAAACGCTTTGAGGTGCATGGTCTTCTGCATCATGCACAAGCTTACCGTGGGCTTTGCTGTGATCGGCGTCATCAATGGTGTGCTGATGCAGGTCGCATGAGCTTGGAAAGATGCCATCAGATTGCACGGGTGCAGGTTGGGTGTTCAATGGTCTTAACATGTGTTCACCAATTTGTTGAAGTTCACGACCATTTTTGGCCACAGAAACAACTCCTCGTATACAGATTGGATTCCCCACCCAAAGTCTCTGCTTCGGACTCAGACTGCTGTGCTTTAACAGCCTCGGCGGCATGTCGGCATCCATTTCGAGACACATCCAATGGTACAAGTGCCACGCTAGTAGTAACAGGTGCCTTACTAGTAACAAGAAGCTAGTAGTAACAAGTGCCACGCTTCTAGGAACAAGCGCCTTACGTTTTTGAGAAAACTTTCGGCTCCCGGGTTGTGCATCCAGGGCTGTTTGATAGCGCTAGAGGTCACACTTTCTCGTGGAGCATTCGCTGCAAATGCCTGTTGTCTTTGAGCTTAGCCACTTGTGCATCGCTGCTTAGCTCCTGGCGTTGCTACTAGTAGCAAGAAGCTACTAGTAACAACTTGTGCAACTGGACCATCACGAGCTCAGATTGTCGCCAGGAGACCTTTAAGGTGGCGCAAGCAGACGACCTCGAATCTTGGAAGCAAAGCCACAAGCCGTCGTAAGCTCAACAAATCCAAGTCACCAACTCCTGGTCCTATGGATCTATTTCACCCCACAGCTCCAGAATGTTCAGGAGGATTCATCCGGGGCCTTGCGTCGAGCGGACGAGTTGGAAATCTTTGGTTTTTTGGAAGCTCGGATCTGTTCGCGAGGTGAGGACCTTGGGTTTTTGATTGATTTTATATGTTTTTCCTGTGAAGAGAATCAGAAGACTTTGGATGGCTCAACGCGTTTGCCTCTTCTCCAAACAGGAGGTTGAACATTTTGTAGCCAATCCATTGGACGAGTGTCAGCTTACATACCCGGTTTAAATGTTACTTTCCGACCGTTTTGAAGTTCGAGGAGATCCAACCAGGAACGCATTTATGGGCGATCCAATCGCTGTGGTCATCTTGGTCGAGTGGAAACTCGATGAAAACACCCCCCATACCCAAAACGAATTAGTAACAAGTGCCACGCTAGTAGTAACAGGTGCCTTACTAGTAGTAACAAGAAGCTAGTAGAAACATGAAAACTCCAAGTTGTTCGCTGCCCGATGAGTGAAGATGCCGCCCTGAGGTCATGCTCCGGACACGGCAGAAGGCGGTGGCCACCCACGTGGATAAGATGCGACAGTTCTTCGAAGAGGCTCGGTGCGACCGATCCCGGCGACCGGAGACACCAAAGAACCGTTCATGTCCCATCCACATCTTTCAGGTACCGGAAATGCTCTTGGGGACTCTGGTAGACTCAGAGGACAACGGTTGAATATGTACTGACGCCACTCAATATGCTCAGAAGCATCTTTTATGGAGGAAGGTGCTTTGAAAGTTCTAAAAATAGTTCAATGTGCACTCAGTACCTCTCGAGTTCACTCTTTTCACGCCAGGCAGACACCTCCAAGGATGGTCGAATCGATTTCCAAGAGTTTGAGGCCATCATGCAGAATAAGGAGCCGAGTAGCGAGCGGAGTGGCGGCCAACGAGTGGAAAGCGATCAAAGCCTTCCGATAAGCATTTTCGGGACGGACCCGGAGGACCCTCTTGTGCAGACAACGAGCTAAAATCCGATCCACGAAGATCGAGGGCCTATGGCACTTGTTACTAATAGCTTCTTGTTACTACTAGTAAGGCACCTGTTACTACTAGCGTGGCACTTGTTACTAATAGCTTCTTGTAGTAAGAAGCAAAAATGATCCTGATTTGCTCGAGCCACTCTTTGCCTTGGAACTCACAGAGATCTAATCGATCAACTAAACACTGACCCAGCTTCAAGAAGGGAACATACTTAACTTTACTCACTTGTGTTGTTCGCAAACTTTGTTGGTTTAATTCCTGAGTCCTTCAACCACACCACCTGATCACACTTGGGTGTTGGTGGACATGTTCACAAATTCGTTCACTTGTGGTCCTCTCTATTCTTTCTGTCTTTCTGTCCGTCTGTCTTTCGTTTGGGACCAGACCTTCATTACCAAGTTCTTTCTTATCTTTTTACTCCGCCCTTTCTCAGGAGGTGAAGATTTGGCTCTCTGCAATGGAGCTCGACGTCCGCGACGTCAGGCTTGTCGGGCCGTCGGGGATAGGAAATGGGAACGGCCTCAAGAAGCGGAGTTCGTGCCGAGGCAGCTCTTCGACTTGTTGGACCGGACAGGGGACTCAGCCCCTCGGTTCGAAAGTCTCCGGAGCCCGTTCTTGCCTAGCCATTTTTGTAGGGCTAGCGATGGCTAGCGCCTAGGGATTGTTCACTTTTTGCTTTTGGTTTTTCAAGCAGAGGATTGGCAGCAACGATTCAAACAACATGCGTCTTTGGGGAGGAACTCCTGTAGTCCAAGCTCAAACTTGTTGGCAAAAGGCCTTCCGCATAAAGAGACATATTATACTTCAAAGACGGAAGCTCCTTTGTTTCTCCCAGTGTGTTTTTTTTTTAATTCCGTTTGTAAAAGAAACAGGCGGAAGGGCGATCCTTTTGTCATTTGTCAAAAGGAAGGGCGAATGGCACGCTCTCTGCTTCAATCCGCTTCGGTTTGAACCGAGGATGGTACGCTCTCCGCAGAGGAGCTGGTCATGGGCATCGCGAAGCTCAGGAGCGGTCTGGAAAAAACCTGTCTGGAGCCGTCCGGCTCCCCACGGTGGTGAAAGAGAAAGGTCTAAAGAGCCAAAGGGTCTGGAGGTTAGAAATAAAATGTTGTATTAAAGGTATTAAAGAAAAAGGTGTTTTAAGTCAGCACATGTTTAAGCATCCCTTGAATCTCACAGAAGGATTTGTTCTGTGTTCATATCATTTTGGTCTACTGTGGGTGCTAACTTTCCCAAAGGATTGGGAACCTCAAAGGCTCCGTTGCAACACCTGTATGACACGCGTGACATCAGGGGCCCTGCGCGGAGCATTGACATCAATGTGCCTTGGACGTGTGAGAAGACGGAGACGGAGATTCGGTGGATAAAGGATGTTGAAAAACATTTCTTTCAAAAAAGGAATCATCAACAATGTTCGCTACTAGGAGCTCCTGGCCGTACTACTAGGAACAAGGACGCTACTAGGGGCTCCTGGCCTCGCTACTAGGAACAAGGACGCTACTAGGGGCTCCTGGCCGTACTACAAGGAGCAAGTAGCTACGAACGTAACAAGAAGCTACTCATGCCCTATGTCTTTGATGTTTAGCGAGGTGCATCGCTAGAGTCTTCCAGGTCCATAGAGTCGTCTACTTTACTTCACCCGAAGTGCATCGCTCCGCACAGGTAGCTCCCGTCTCACGTCCCAAAGAAGCTAAGGCAGACCCAGGCGTTGAGAGGAGAACAGAAAGGAAACCTGTGGAAGCATGGGCGATACATGTTCTCAAATTCGTTGCACTCGTCGGAGCTTTGCATTTTGGACCTGAGGCTGTGATGTTTCACCAGGAGAAATTCGAGAAAGAGCTGGAGGCGTTCAAATGTTTGGGCCCGGGGTCAAGCGATGATGCTGACGCTCAAATCTTTGCCTGCAAGCGTATCTCGTTCCATGAAATTAGTTTTGACTAGGTGCAACTTGAAAGAACTTGGACATGGTTTTGAATCCATTACAAACCAGACATTTACCACAAGATACCGATACCACAAGTATAGGTAGTCCATCATTCCGATGAGATCTTGGTTTGTGCATTCTTCGGATTGTCAGCCCAGCAGAGTTTCCACCTTGCTGTTCTTTTCCTTTTGAACTGCGGGGTCGACTAGCCTACATGTGTGTTTTCTCCGGAGAATTGGGGAGGGGTGACACACATCGCCACCGCAGAACATGAAGAATGACCTCCAGCGGTTGTTTACCAGCAGGAGACGGCGAGGGACTTCAGGCCGTATAGTATATTTGGAAGCACTCTTCAAAAGAGAAGACGTTCTTGAACATGTGCACCTGTTCAAGATCTTTAAATGAACTCAACTCGGTTTCCATCCGTAGAGATCCGGGCACTGCCGGAGTTTCCACGGAGCCAAGAAATGGTTGAGTCACGACTGGTCTCGCCGTTTGTCCCGCCAACCATGATCGTCGAGTAGATTCCCCGAAGTTCCTTTGGTCGCGCTTTAGGACTGTAGAGATGACCTGTTTTCGCTCAAGATATGAGTTATACCTGTGAAGGACTATGCCGCTACTAGTAGCGATGCCAGGAGCCCCTAATAGTGTCCTTGCTCCCAGTAATAAGGCCAGGAGCCCCTAGTAGCTTCTTTTTACTAGCAAAGTCTCGGAATCGTGTTGGAGAAAACCCTTTGATGAGACACCTCCGCCCAAACAGGAGCTTTGGCCTGGGGAAGCAAAGTCCCGGCCGATTGCAGGACGGACCTGTCACTCAAATTTCATTAAAGCAATAAATGCCAGCCTGCCATGGGTGCAGATTTTGAAGGAAAGTGGTCCCAAAAGCCGCTTAGTCATGAGGCTTTTCACAAGCTTCAGTCTTTCATGTGAATTGGATCATGTTGATCAGAGATGCCCTTGGACACTCGCTGGACTGTAAGTTCTGGGCGATGAGATCTTGAGATTCAATGGGTGGACTAACTGAACCCTCTCAATTTCGATCCTGGAAAGAACATTTGAGACGTGAGAGAAGTCTCCGAGACCTGAGGAGATGTACAAGAGGGGCAATTCGAACACATCCTCATTGCAGTCCTCCAAGCCAGTGGCTGGGCGTTCGATCCGACACCGTCATCGATGCCGTCGACATCGGACGATGCCGAATGGGGAAAGGCAACAATGCCGTCGGGTTGGCCGCTCAAATAAGGCCAGCTTTTCAGGTGATTTGGATCTTCCATATTGAATACACTAGTGATGACTATATAGTTCACCCTCCATTGGTTGTCTTTTTGCAAGATATACAAGATAGAATATATCCAATTTGGCTCGGTCACTTGCAGATTGTTTGCTGAGTGAAGTACAAGAGGTCTATAACGTGACGCACGCCTTCTCACACCATCATGCTGTCCGCGGGCATGGACGAGAGATATTGCACTTCATTATGCAAAGCAAAGTCCAACTTCTTCACCGTGTCCCAATGTCTTCGGAGTTCTCAACCTGTTCTTTCCAGTTGTATCCAACTGCATGTCGCACGAGCCCCACTGTTCAAAGTGCCCTTGCATGTCTGAGGATCCCTTCTCACCGGCGGCTTGGCAGATCAAGATCCCCCAGTTGCTCTAAAGCGCATGTCGTGACAATGGCATGTATTCCGTCTTCCAATCATTGGGCCTCATTAAAGGAACCCTTACATTGCCTTAATTCTCTTTTGTTTTTCTCTCGTTTTCCTCTCTTGGAGATTTCTCCACTAGAAGTTCATCCCTTTGCCCACTTCAAAGCCAACTCTCCGAACGCCCGAGCGGGGCTAAGAAGTGGGGCTTGGTGGGGCAAGTTTGCAGTTGCACAATCAGCAGCAAGCACCTGATGTTTTGTAGATTCGTCACCAGCAAACATGCATGTATTTTGCACATGTGTAAGTGCGTGTGTATGTTATTGTGTTCTTTCACATGGAAGTTCTCTCGTTCAGATGTGTTCCGACATCCTTCAACGAAAGAGAACGCTCCACACTCCCTCTCCGACGAAGTGAAAGTTCTTAAGTGAGATCTTTTGACTCAAATTGGAAATTGGAAATTGATTCTTCGGAAAAAACAAAACATCGCCTGAGGCCGAAGCGCCGATTGAGGAGGAGAGCGACGCGAAAGCGAGTCCCGACGATGTGGGCTTTCGGATCTAGGCGACGGAGCGTCGTGCGTGTCACGAGGACGTTCGGTTGATGGGCACCGGTGATGCATCGATGCATCGTTTACTGATTGCAAGCGCATGATGGGCATGAAGTAAAGAGGTTCGTGGTTTTGGGTTTGCTTCTTTGTGTTCGCCTTCGAGTTTGATGATGCTTTTGAAGATTGATCGGATCATACACTGCCCCTCCTCTCCTTCCATTTTGCCACGGCCAAGAGGGAATCGATCTCTACCAGAACCTGCCGGATGCTTTGCGATCCCCCAACACAGACTGCAGGTGAGCCGCAAAGGGCTTGAGAGATCGCGAGCTGGGTCGTCTGAAGCGAAAAGCGCTAGTGCCCACGACGCAATTCACCAATAGTGTGAGCACTCGAAAATTTGGTTGCCAGTGGTGTGGAAACATGGTAGTGTCATATAGTGTCCAAAGTAGATAGACATTCAGGCAGATGATTAGGACTTAGGACCACAAGGAACCGTAGAAGTTGATAGCTTCTCAGGGGTACCGGACCGGCACAGGAGCTCACAGGTGAAATTTTTCACCACACAGAATCAGCAAGTAATTGAAAGTCGTTTGGAATTGCGAATGGAATTGCAGCGACACGTACAGTGCAACTTGTACATATATATGTACCATATGTACTTTGGCTCAAGGATCAAGCGACTAGAAAAGGTGCGGTTTCCGTTCCGACGCTACGCCGCTTATGGACCGTCAGTGATAGCTTCAAACTTCGCTGATTAAGATCCACTCGCAGGTTATCAGCCGTACGCGCTCTTTATAGCCGTACGAGCTACACGAGACCAAGAACAAGACTAGTCATTACAGAAACCTGCAATATCAAGCTCAGGAGGAAATGGAAGCGAACCCTATTCATTCGCTGCTCCTGGTGGTACCAACACCATTTCGTCACCAGACTCTACAATGGGTACTGATTCATCAGCAAATGCTGACGTTATCACTATGCCTACTGGATCACAAATCTCGGAAAGATCCGTGCCACCGGCTCGGAATCTGACCGATCTTGCACCCGTAGGACCAAGAAGATCGATGAGAGCTACAACAAGATCTACATCGCCTATAACGTCTACCGCGAGATCCCCAAGAAGGAGTATAGAGAAGAGACGTGACGATGATAGAGGAACAAAAGAGCAAAGAAGAGAGATTCAGCTGGGTGAAGAATTGAGATCGGCGAGAAACGCATACAATTTTCTTCATGAAGAATATGAATGCATCCAAGCCGGATACTCACGACTACACCACGAGGCTGAAGTGGAGTTCAGGCAAATGTCTGACTACAACAGGAAGATGCAGGAACATCTACAAGAGATGACACAGGAAGATGAAGGAGCGACAATAAGAATTGAAGAGCTCGAACACAAGCTACGCTTGGCGGAATCGACAGCTGAACATATCTACATGAGATATCAAGAGCTTGCACAAGAAACTCATCAAGAACATTCGGAGCTTGAATCTGTGAAAGCAACGAAGGACAGAATGTCCCAAGAGCTTCAAGCAGCAATTTGGACACATCCAAGAACAGAATGAATCTTCATTGGCGATCAATAGAAGATCAAAAGCCATTCAGGATGAGAACACAGCCTTCGTCGGAATAGCTGACCAGATACAAGCTAGAATGATTGCGCTACAGGATGAGAATGTCAACATGCACGAGGTGATCCAACACCAGAGAGAAGAACAATGGAACAGTGAGGTCAGGGAAAGACGTCTTCAACACAGTGTTCACTCATCTCAAGATCAGAGCAATCAGGAAGCTATGGTTATTGATCATCTACGAGGTCAACTAGCTATGGCACGTGGAGCTGAACTCAACGCGAGAGCGGAGATAGAAGAGATGGAAGTGGGCATGAGGATGGAGATATTTGTATGCCAGACTGAAGTCTCTGCTAAAGAAATGGCAGAAATGAAGGCGAGCCACCATGAATACGAAGCAAACGTCGCAAAGGAGGTTATCGCAAAAGGAGAAATATTCAACAACGAAGTCCTAGAAGGTTCCATCCGTGAACGACAACAGTTGAAAGACGCCAACCTCGCTCTATCCGAAGCCAACGCACAGCTGAAAAGAGAGAATATGATGAGAGCTCCTATGTTCGGCGATGATGGTGCTGAAATTCAACAGAAGATCAGAGAACTGGAGAATGCACTATTGGAAAGCCAGAAGGAAACAAAGAATGTCATTGTGGAAAATGCGAAATTAAAAGCAGAAGCACGAATGGCACCCATAGTCTCTCGGTACAGCAAGCGTCCTAGTTCCAGAGACCGCGGGTTACCAACCCACGCGTCCGAGGAAGATGAGATTCGGAACGCAAAAGAGGAGGCGAAGCACTACAAGGACGGGTACAATGAAATGACAGAGAGCCGAGATGAGATGTATGAATGGTATGCCGAAACCCACAATGAGTACGCCGAGGAAAGGGAGAAATCAATTGAGCTATCCGAGGCGAACAAATCATTGAGGGACAAGATTTCAGAAGCAGAAGCATCCTCTTCATCTCATCTTGCACCGGCAACCTCTACAATCATGAAAGTATCGAGGAAGGAAGAATCAAAGATAAACGTTCCGTCATGGCCCAGGATCAATGATCTTGGACTATGGAAGGCAAATCTCATTCAATCGATCATCATTGCGGCCAATGATTCAGATCAAGAGCCCTGGATCGACTGGATCAAAGAAGCCATGGACGATCCTGATCCGGACAAGTTTGTCGACTCAGGAGACCAAAGATTCCATTCAATCGATGCCAAACTCGGCCTAGCTCTTACCAAGGTCGTCATGGATGCGAAAGATGATGGTTCAGGTGTAGCTATGAAGTTGAGGACGAGGATCAATGCAAAAGGGAGAACATCAAGCCTCATAAAGGGAAGAGAGGTCCTAGCCCTGATCCTTATGAATTTCAAGACAACATCAAATGTGGAAGTCTTATATACTTCAATGCACCTCTACCAACTAGAATATCAAGGAGACAAGAACTTATCGTTGTTCTTCCACACTTGGGATGAAATTCTGGCAGGAATGAAGCCCGTTGACGTCCCGAGCGACGAAACTCTTCGGGATCTCCTATGGAGAAAGATCAGGAACTCAAACCTCATGGCATACGACATCAGCGCCTACAACAGCATGAACGACGATGATGCCAAGAAGACATACAAACATCTACGTGATATGATCAGAAGGCACATCGAACGGCAAACTGAAGACAGGATGATCCTGGAAAAGGAGAAGGCAGTGAAGAATGTGGCCAATATCTTTCAGAATCTCAAACCAGGCGGACCTGCTCCAAAACTGAAAGCTGCACCAGCTGATCCGAAGAAGAAACCAAAAGGGCAACAAGAACAGGTTGTCTCAGAAGACGCTGCTGCAGTGAAGCCGAAACCCAATCCCAAGAAGCATCCTGAAGACAAGAACAAAAAGGGAAAGGGGAAAGGTAAAGGTGATGGAAAGGATCGCAGCCGAAGTCCGAGTACAGACAAGAAGAAGATACCATGCAAATACTTCGTGAAAGGTAACTGCACTATGGGGAAAGATTGCCCATTCAGTCACAAGAAACCCAGATCACCATCCAGAGGATCTTCTGTCGGAAAGAATGACAAGCCAGTATGTTGGATGTGGATTCGAGGAACTTGTGACAAAGGGAAGGATTGCAAGTTCTACCATGACCCAAAAGCCTCTCCTAAGAAAGGGATATCTGCACCAGCTGACTCAGGAGACGATAGGCCAAAGCCCAAGGCAAAACCCAAACCGAAGCCTAAGGCGAAGCCTGGAGCCCCAGCCATTGACGGTGAACTCTTCATGGACGAATCCGAAGATGAAGGGATTGCTGCATCCGCCAAGGCAAGAGAAGGAGGTGCAAAAGTGTCCTTTGATGAAGAGACTTGTGAGATCATGTTGAACGAAGCGATCTACTCAGTCAGGGACAAATGGAAGGTAGTAGAAAAGAAACCTCTGCGTCCGGACATCAAACGATACGATGAGAAAGAGCTCACCTGCTACACGAGGAAAGAACAAATCAGATTTGAAGAAAAGGTCGCAGAGGCGAGAGGCATATTGATGGTCCCCTACACAGAGATCAAGAGGGTCCGAATACCAGTTGGACCAAAGGGTGACCTATCGGTCACTATGTCTTTTGACGAAGATGACGGCCTAGTTTTCCATCATAAAGTCATTCCTCATGTATGCGAGGGAAAGAAAGATCATGCAGACACAAAGACATTGTCTATTCCAGCCAAAGGGTCAAGAACGAAGTTCATCATGGACACAGGATGTGGGTATGATTTGATATCGAAAGGCAGAGCCAAAAAATTAGGTCTGGAAGTGAGAGAAAGCGACCAATCAATGTCATTCTATACTGCAAATGGAATGACATCCACAAAAGGAGTCGCCGACATTCATTTCGACGAATTTGACTCTACCTACTCCCCATTCGTCCTAGATGAGTCTCCTTCAGTACTGTCTGTTGGAAAGAAATGCATGGAGGAAGGATACACATTCATATGGCCAGCCTGCGGCAACCCGTACATGGTTTCCCCGAACTACAAGAAAATCATGTTAGAAGTAGAGGGAAACATCCCATATATTGTCAAGGGCAGTGACTTCTGTACTCCCACCGACGATACAAGGGCGGAGATGATCGCAAGGTTCACCCTAGGAGAAGATGAAGCTGATTACCAATCGACTTTCATCAACTGTGATGTGGATCCTCAAGGAATCATGTGTGATGATGACGACCTTCCTGTGATTGAGCCTCCAAAAGTCAAAAGGCGAAAGAGGAATAAGAAGTTCAAGGCATCTCCTGGAGAAGAAGATGAGGTAGGATCAGATGTCGCCGGAGACAGTGAACCAGAAGCTGACGATGATGATGCAGATGACATCGAGGTGGATGTTGTTGACGGTGCAAGTAGAATGGTGAGAAGAGGAACTCTGAAAGCAGATGCCAGGAAAATCGAGCATCTACTCACACATCGTTACAAGAATCCCTACT